ATTCCACATATAAATGAAATCTTATGATATTTGTCTTTCTCACCATGTCTTGGTGAGTTTTTGTCTTTCACAACAAATTCCACTACTGTTGTTTCAGTGGGTAGTTAAATAAGATGTTTGGCGTCAGTCTGCTATATTTACCTGAGGTCTATCTTGTTTACTCCTGGTCAAAACAATGAGGTTGGTTTATCCTGATTTTTTAGATGAGAATTGAGGCTCAGGGAGATTAAACAACTTGTCATGAAGACCTACAGCCATTAGCCGCAGAGCCCCAGTTTTAACTCAAGACTGTCTGCCTGTAGAGATGTTGGTTGACAAGGAATGTGATTTAGCATCTAGGCACTGCCATCAATATTCCTAGTGTGTCTTCCTCCATCTCTTTTTTTTAATGCTGTAAATGGCTTCTTGCTCTAGTATCCCCCCAAAATGTTTTCTGTATCATTTAAGAGGGTTTCTCTGAAGTTTAGAGATATATACCAAGAGGTAGTTCTTATTTCTTAGCCATTTAAGAGCAGCGATGGTTTATACGTGACCTGCAAATTATAAGGAAAAGACTTAGGTTTGTTGTGTATGGTGGCACTCTACTGCCTGTTGGCCACTTAGAGAAGGGAGAGGCATTAGATGAAGGGAGGGTCTGTTGGCTGAGAGTCCCTTCCCTAGGCCATGCCTTCCACTCAGGGACCTTGGCCCTTGTCTGGATGAAGGTCCCAGGGAGTCAGGACCCAGCTCTGGCACAGGAGACCCTGGAGCAGGGGCATCAGGGACTCCAGATCTGTTTCTGATTCCTTCCTGCATCCAGAACGCTGTGAGCCTGCCCCAAACACTTGCAACCTCACCACTTTTACTGAGAGAAAAGTAGTTTATAAAATGAAGCGAAAGCTTGCAGGTCAGTCTGGGTGGAAAACGTTGAAGTTTACTTGTATGCAACTTACCATCATCAGTGGTTCCTGCCTACTTCTGATTCTCCTTGGCTGAACTTGAAAGTACAATGGTTAATACATTATCTAAATCACTGCTGGCCTCAGAGCATACCAGATGTTGGGCAGCAAACTGTGGCTCACTTTCTAAATTTCATAAAACATACAGATCATGTGCCCTAGTCAACTCTACGGAGCCAAAGCAGCCTTTGTGTGGTGCTGTTCACGTGGCCTTGACATCCGTCCCCAGACACTGTCATTCTAAAATGTGGCTGTTCTTCTTCATTGGCCTGTCTTAGAGATATTTTTTCCTGGCTGGTAGCATAGAGGAGGGAAAGTCCTACAGTAGGGGGAGTGGCTGCTTCAGACCCTGTCATGAATAGGATGATCCATGGATAGGATCTAGATGATCCACCTCTAGAGAGGCCTGTGGGTGAAGGGAAGGGGGAATGAAGAATGCACTACATCTTTCCCCAGACAACATTTTTGTTGGTATAAGAAGCCTGCCTGCTCCTCTCACTGGTAGAGAACATGAGTTCAGTTCTGTTGGCCACCACCTGCTTGGAGGTTGCCCTGATTTTGCTTGTCCCTTTGGAGTGCACTCTGAATCTGGCTTTCTTTCCCAGCCCCTTCGGTTATTGCCTCTCCCGGGTGTGCTCTCTGGCCTCTTTCCCTCACTTGTCTCCAGGAGGTGGCCTGGTATGGAGCTTCCTGCACTCCAGCCCCATGTCTCTGGTGAGCCCAGGCTCCCAAGGGAGGTGATATGTCTCTGTGGGGACGAGCAGACACAGAAGACACCAGACATACTGGTTGCTGCCAGATGACATGTTTGCCTCTGAGACCCAACATTTCTGGAGGTCAGGGATTTGCCCATGGTGCATTACTGTTGGGCACCCAAACCTTGACAGTGGTGAGGGGAGAAAATGGCCATAGTCGCCAGATGGAGATGGAGCCTCGTGGCTTCCTGTTACCAAAAGAGTGTCCATGTTCATAGATGAGGGCTAGAGGCATTGCTCCCATTGCATGTTTTTCCCTCCAAAGGTCTCTTTTATACTGTGACACCTCACAGCTGCCCTGTGACAGAGGCTGGCAGGGCCTGTTCACACCCAGTTGTCCTGCCATTGCCTCAGACTGAGCTCGTCAGCTGCTCACAACAGGTTCCCCACTCCTGAATGTGCCCAATCTTACCAGCCCCAGGCTCCTGGGCTGTACATATGATACACCCTTGACTCATGCTTCACTTCATGCCAGCTCCCACGGGTCCACCCAACTTGCTATTTGCCAGGTACAAAGTCATCGCTGGGCAGAGGGCCCAAGGGTCATTTTTTGTTGTTGTTGTTTGTTTGTTTATTTCCAAGGCTCATTTTTATGGCCTACCTGCTCCCCACCTTTCACCTTAGTAATAAGGCTCCAAGTAGGGTCAAGCTACTGAACTGTGAGATCTTTTTCAAATTGGTCATGTTTATATCTGGGATGACTTGATTGCCTGGCTCATTGGTACCCAGACCCCTGAAGTAGTGGGTGTGATTCCCAAGCTCCTCATTAGTTGCCCTCGTCATACTTATGTGTGTTCTGTGCAAGGGTTTGACTCATCTTGAGCAACTGGATGCTCCTGCATAATCTTGTCAATCAGTTTGACATTTGCCAACTGCATCCTGCCCCTGCGCACTTCTCTACCACTTACGCATTACATCCTCTGCCTAGAACAGCACTCACTCTTCCCCTTACCTTCTGAGAAAACTACTCATCCTTCAGGACCCAGGGAAATTGCATACCTGCCTTTTTCAGCATGCCTCATGCTGTATCATAATGCTCTGTTCATAGTTTCGTCTTCTGCTCTAGACCATGTGGCCCATGGGGACAGAGACTAGGTCTGATTTATCAATATTCCCCAGTGCCCAGCACAGCAGAATTCAGGGAATGTTGGCTGCATGAATCCATCCATTTGTTCACAAGTGTTTATTCAAACTTCCTTGTGCCAGACACTCTGCTAGGCACTGGACACATAGGGGTGAACCGGCAGATAGGGTCCCCTCCCTCCATGGAAAAGGTTAGCAGGGCCAGTTAGCAAGGAAACACATACATGGACAAGATCCTTTGTAATTGCTGTGCTTTCCAGGGGCTGCTTTAAATGGAGTCATGCAAGAGAATCCTCTCAAGGTACTTCATAGATGAGACCTGCAGGATGAGAATAAGCCAGCGGTTCAGATTGCTGAGAAAGTGAGCTCAGCGCAGAGGGGATGGCAGGTGTAAACTTGGACTGCAGACCAAAGCACAAGGAGCCATCCTGCCACACCTCTTTGGTAGAGCACAGGAAACAGTTTGGGTTTTCTCCTGGGAGAAGTGGGATGTCCTCAAAGGGAAGGATTTTTTACTATCCCAGGTGGCTGAACAGGTGTGAATGTGCTGAAGATTGCCCTGCTTCCACTGCATGCCTTTTCCTGCTGCCTCTTTTTTTGTCCCCACCCAGGCTTCCTTCCTTCCATTCAGACCCCAAGCTGTGCACACTGTGCTTGCTCTGTGGGTGCCTGGGCTGCTCTACTTACCCTGGATCGTCTCTGTTCCTCATTGTAGGCTTGCCTGACTCCGGCCCTGGAGCTGAGGTGCCAGCGAGGCTCTGCCCCTCTGGGAGCTCCCTTCTCATTCCCCCGAGACTTGTGCTTCTAGGCTGAAAGGCCTCCACTGCCACTTGCACTTTGCTACTGGCCCAATGGGCCCTACCTAAGAAGGCTGTGGGCCACTGTCATGGGGAGAGTACTCTCCCAGTAATCAGGAGCACCACCTCTTAGAATTTTAGTTCTACTCTACCCAGCACCATTCAAGGTGCAGACTCCCAAATTCTAAGAGCTGGAGAGCCCCTCCAAGCATCCACAGTCCAGCCACTCCCTTAATTCTGAGCCTTCCTTCTGGCGGGAGAGATGGCAATCAATTTCGTCTCCAGACTGCTCTAAGAACAATCTAAACTGTCTTCTTGTGGCCTCTTTCATTTTTCTTGCCTCCCCCCACTCCCTGGGTTGCAGCATTTCTAATCCTAAGAAGAGACCTAGCTCATGTCTATGAAGTGGAGGCAAGAGTTATTTTCACTTTCAGCAAAACTTATGTGTGTGCCCAACAGACACGCATGCCGTGGGGACCCGATGCGTGGCTCCTGTACCCAAGGATGGTGCAGGTCAGGAAACAAGGTCCTGAGCGTTTCTGCTGTGACACTGGGCCTTTGCAGGAAAGAGAAGAAAGTGAGCAGCCACAGAAAAGTGGCTTTGGAGAGGGTGTGGATAGGAATGTTAGAACACATGGGACCACACTGGGCCGAACCAGTTAGTAGTAGTAAAATAGCCAGGGTTTGACCCAGTTCTTCCACTTACTGTGTGACCTCTGAGCCTCAGTATCCTTATCTGGGAAATGAGGATAATAACAGCACCTAACTCACAGGATTGATGTCACAATTAAGTGACTAATTAATATTTCACAGAAAATGCCTAGTACAATCCCTTGCACATTAAGGGGTCAATATATGTTAGTTTTTTGTTTTTTTTTCAGTGAGGAGATAACCTCAGGGTGTATTTGTGCCAGGATATTTCAGAGGATGAGAGAGTTTAAACTAAACTCAGGGAGGGAGAACCCAGATAACCCCAAGAGGCTGGTTCCTTTGGAGGAGGTAGGCATGGCAAAGAAAGATAAGCAAGCATGCTTGTGGCGGGGGAGGGCAGTGATTTATGGGTGCAAAGGCCAGGGAAGGCTCAGACACAGGCACCGAGCCGCTGCAGTCCTGGAAGCACACAGCTCAGGGGAATGCGAACGGGAGCTTGAACTGTGGCAATCACTGTCTCGCTGCTGCAGGTGACTCTGCAGAGCCCAGTGGCTTTTCATTACAGAAGCAAATGGCATCACGTGCTAGGGATTCGAGAAAAAAGAGCACTCATGGCCGCAGGGGGAGGCCACAGAGATGGCAGGAATGACAGGCCAGCCACTGGGTTTTTTAGGAGAGTGCGCTGTACAATGAGGGAATGAGAGGGCTTTGCGTTCTTGTGTGCGTCATGTGGGATGCTGTGTAATTTTTCCTTTGTTCTTTATTTGAATTTTCAGTAAGAGAAGGAGGAGACTGAGCCGGGAGAAGGAGTCATGGCTTCTGAGGCCAGCCACGCGCTGGAAGCCGCCCTGGAGCAGATGGACGGGATCATTGCAGGTGCGGGCAGGGGTGCTGGTGACTGTCGGCTCGTCCTGCACGCCAAGGGGACTGCTTGCTCTCACTTCACTTTTCTTTGCAGCCCAGAGAGGAGCTCCTTGTTAGAGCTGTTGTATTTCATTGTGCATGCCATCTCTTTTTTGAGGGGTACAAACTTCTAGAACTTTGATATGTGGTGTGAGTGTGGGTCTCTGTTGAGACAGGGCAGGTGTACCATTTATCAGCATGCACGTAACTGTGTCACGGTTTAGATCCTGGCTGCCAGGGAGTTTGGGTGCCATGAGATTGATCTTGTAAATTCTTCAGGGAACATCCTGGCTTCCTACAGTTGAGCTGAACCTTGAAGTCTTTGCTGACTTTGCCACCTAACATGGGTGTCAGCTCACCTCCCCAGCTGGTCTCGTGTGTTTGGGAGCCAGGAGGCAGTTTTTATATCGTTTCACCGCATCACCCAGAGAGCGTTCTTTATGCCATATTGCTTTCTATCCATCTCAACTGCTTGTTTTCAAGTTTACATTAGTCAGTTAGAACCATTTTCTAGGAAAGGTCCAGCAAAACTGGTTAGGAGAGGGCTGCCAGTGGGCTGTTCCAGCCGATTAACTCCTTGATAGTGGCACCCGAGCCTGTATTGGTTAGAACAAACCTGTCATTGAAAATCCTTCCCAAAGGGCTCAGGTCTTCTTTCCGTCCTCACCTGATGCAGGGCAGTGGCCTTGTTTGCCGACCTGGGGTGCTTCTTTGGGGCTTTGGGCCTTGTTGTATGGAGCTATGGCTGGAGGAGAAAGGCTCGGGCTGAGTGTGGCTGGAGCCCAGGACATGTACAGGTACCCGACACTGTCCCCTTTCAGGCATTTACTTTTCCTTCATTCTGCAAAGACGCATCTGGCTCACTGAGGGTTTCGGGTACTTGCGCATGGGATGGGGAGGTGTCGAAGTTTCTTCATGTTATTGGTGGCACTGTGACATGTTCTAGCTGTCATCTGTCAGGCACTTAATTTCTCAGGGAACACAAGGGCCCGTGGGAGGCTGTGACTAATGCCCCACTTTCCACAGGCACCATAGGTTGGGATGTCCTGTTCTAGATTAGGGCCCTTGAAATCCTACTGAGAGGAAACAGCCCAGAGTGTAGATTTACTAGCAAACTTTTCAGTCTCATCTGGGCACTCCCAGGGGCTCATGTGCATGGAAATCAGAGCTACAGAGTCAGACGCTCAGACTGGCTCGGGTTGTCAGCACTGCTGAGCCCTCAGCCAGGAGCAAGGAGGAGACTCTGGGAGAGCCCCCGGCAGGGCACAGAGCTCTCAGGTGGTGGTGAGAAGTGAATGAGACAGCTCCCGAAGAAGGCAGCCTGTGCGGGCTTGGTCCCTCTTCCTGCCTCCTGACTTCTCCACCTGGGCATTTCAGAAACGACAAAGCCCCTGGCAGAATCCCCTTTATCTCAAAGAGGATTCTGTGGCTGGATCCTTGGGGCCTTGCCTTGGTCCAGAATCTGCATGTGAGGACTTGGGGTAGGTGTAGAGGGAGGGGCCCTCCTGCTGTTCTGGCACAACATGCTCCTTCCTTCTTCCATTTCCTCAGCCCACCATCCTGGCGGGTTGTTTCTGGAAGGGCCTCCTGGGCCGCTCTGTCAGGAACAGGCATCAGTGGTAGAGTGGTGGTCCATGACGTTCTTTGCAGGTCAGTCAGGAGGAGCAGACTGCTTAGTTCAAACCTAACTTCACAAATCCTACAACAGGCAACTTGTATGATCTGTCTCTCAGGTTCCTCTTATTTATTTACTTATTATTGATTTTAGAGACGAGAGGAAGGGAGAGAGGGAGAGTAACATCAGTTTGCTCTTCCACTTATTTATGCATTCATTGGTTGATTCCTGTGTGTGCCCTGACTGGAGATTGAACCCCCAGCATTGGTGTACTAGAACGATGCTCTAACCAACTGAGCCCTGGCTAGGGCAGTGTCCTCATATTGAACATGGGAATAGTAATAGTACCCACAGTAGAGGGTGCTGTGCTTACACTTGTAAGGTGCTTAGAACAGTGCCTGTCATGTAGCACTATAACACATTAGCTCTTGATAAATTAATGAGAGACAAAAAATTCCTTATCATGTGGAGTCTTCTCTAGAGACACAGTAGAGTTTTCATTTATTAAGGCTCTTATTCGACCCAATGGAGTTTTGAGATTTTCATTATATAGGGCTTGAACTTGCTTCAGTAGGCTCATCCAGGGTCTACAAGACTAATGCATAGTCTTCTGAGTGGTCTTTGCTCTGTTCTTGCCCACGTTACGCTGTTGTCCTCAGTGTAACCCTTAAAACATAAGTCGCATCACTCCTCTCCCCAAAATTCTTCAATGGCTTCTCATCTTAGGGTAAAATGTAAAGTCTCTGTAGCCAGCATAGCCAGCGATGCCCTGTGCGATCTGGCCTTAGGCTGCCTTTACGGCTGCATCTCCTGCCACTTCCTCTCTGGCTTGTCTGACATTAGCGGGGAACACTGGCTGTCTCTGGGCCTTTATGTCTGCTGTCCCTCTGCTGGAACGCTATCCCCTGGTGTTCTCCTGTTCGATACCTGCTGAAACATCACCAGATCAGAGAGGCCTCCCACGACACCCCTCCCACATCACTCTCTGTCCACGTGTCCTGTTCATGTCTCTTTACAGCACTTACCACCGCCTGACCGATGACATTTGTTTTTATCTCTTTGTGTATTATCTGCCTCCTGCACCAGAATGTCAGTTCCATGAGGACAGAGGCTTTGCCACGCCATCCCCGGTGCCTCAATTGGTCTGCAGCATGTAAACATTTGTTTCGTAGACATTTGTCACATGTGTGGCATATGTTTTATTTACTTTGGTGAATAGGTTCTCCTTTTCATTGGATAGAAGGCAGCTAGTGGTTTCTGTACCTGTCCTCTACCCGACTGCATACTGAACTTCATTTATTATTTTCTCTACTAGTGCCTTTGTTTAGCTGACTCTTTTGGAACAGCAAACCACTAATTTTTTATGTTTTTGAAGGCTCGGTGGCTGGCACATCCTGTGAACCATCTCTTAAGTAGTAACTGGCTCCTGCAGTGTTTGATAGGTGCTGTTTGACAGATAACCTGACACAGGTCAGCAGTGAGCATCTGGAGGGTGGATGATCTATGCCATTTCATGATCAAAAGAACGATAATTGTTGAATGCCTTTGTGCCAGAAACTTTGCTATAAGATTGTTAGTATCATCCTCACTTTCAAGATGGTTGGGCTGAACTGGGCCAAAGACTTTAGGAATTTCAATGGTTGTTAATGCAGGCCATTGGGTAATGAACCCCCGCTCAGCCACTTACCCTGGCTGTGGGATCTCTGGGCAAATTGCTTAAATTCTCTGAGCCTTCTTATATATTAAAGTGGTAATAACAATACCAATCTCATATTATTAGGATGATTAAATTAATGTAAATAAGACACTTAGTAAGTGCTCAATCGGTGTAAGTTACTACTTATTTTGTTGATATCCCTGTTGACTTAATTGTTTTGGCCACCCAGAATCCTAGTGCTAGTAAGTTGCAGGACTAAGATTTGAGTCCAGGGCTGTCTGAGTCTCTTCTGGGCTGCTTTTATTCCTGTGTTAGTTTTGTGATGGCGTGTAGTTGGGCCTGGAGGCTGTCTGTGGGAGAAAAGAGTTCACTGGGAGCAAGAACCGGTTCTGCTTTTGCTCCCAAACCCTTACCTAGAATGACTTTGCTCTTATCTCTCTTACACATTAGACTTTCAAGTAAGGCTCCCTTTGCTTAAAGAGTGGCATAATTAAAAGAAAGTTTCAAACTGTAGTACCACCTCATGACATCAAAGATCCTGCAGAAATGACATTTTTGTGTGAACATTTAAATCCTCCTTTCTTTATTTCAATTCTTATTAATTTGAAGTCAAAGGATATCAAGTAGTGCCAACACTACCAAAACACCGTGGTTTTTGCATCTGTTAAAGCACTCAAAAGAGTACCCACAGACTACACCTTATGAAAACATAATTATCACTTACTTCAATGGAAGAAAATGTTATGGGCTTCCTGCACACCCCAGCCCCCAAATAGCAACCATTTATGCAAAAACAATATTGATCCCTACTAAAACAGACACAGTTCCTTCAATAATGATTATTCTTAATTGTAACACTATATAACAAGGATTTTCCTGTATATGATAGGTTACTGTTCACTTTCCAAAAAGAGTGTACTTAGGGTATGTGATATCAGTGTTGATGTAATTAAGCACTTAATTTTTTAAAAAGTGTTCTTTTCCTCTAGTCAATGCACACAACACAGGAGATTATCACTCCCATGGACAACCAGGCCAGGAATATTCTGAGGACATCCTGATGCCCAAGTGCCAAATATGCTCTTCCTGAGGCGTAGTGTGGTGACCCTCATCTGAGGTACCCAGAGGCTCTGGAGGTGTGTGAAAAGAAATGCCTTTTAAGCAGAAATAGGGCCATTACATGAAACTTTCTTGAATTCTTTAAAAATATATTATTTATTTATTTATTTTTAGACAGAGGGGAAGGGAAGGAGAAAGAGAGAGAAACATCAACGTGTGGTTGTTTCTCTCACGCCCCCTACTGGGGACCTGGCTCACAACCCAGGCATAAGCCCTGACTGGCAGTGGAGCCAGCGACCCTTTGGTTCACAAACTGGTGCTCAATCCACTGAGCCACACCAGCTAGGGCAACTTTCTTGAATTCTTGAAGCTTAAGTTGGTATGTCCTGGCTGTGACTACTTGTTTGGAACCCTGAAATTCTATGCCAGAAAATTGGGAAGAGATGACTGTTAAAGACTCCAGGACCCTTGTCAAAATGATTTATTTTTAGTACAAAAGACAATTGTCATAGCTTCTGTTACGTATTAACTTTTGATCTGATCTTCCTTTCGATTAGTCTGATGTGCCTGCAAATAATACTATAATTGAATTACAGGGTTGACAATTGAATTTAAACTCCATATTACATAATTACATCCTTC